CGATTCCGACGTGGTTGTGAGCGATGCATCTCGCCCTCGCCCTGTTAGTCCACACATTACGGTGACATTGAAAGGCGCCAAAGAACATATTGGGACAAAGGCAGCAGTCAGGAAAACTACTTTGAAACGTCGTAAAGAGAAGGATAACGGAGGTGGATCTATTAAACTTTTTTGTTTTGTTAATTAGTAACAAATAAATTGTAATGTATTTTTCGATTTGGCACTGCTTTCCTTCACTATCCTGATCTTCTAGAATTACTGCAGATTTTTTAGCGACTTCTCCTGGAGCAGATTTGGCTGTACATTTGTTTCAAGGGGTAGTTGGACCTTGTGACCACATCTGCACGAGGTGCCAAAAGAAATGAGGTTCCTGTCTGCACTGTTCCCCCGGAATAGCGATCCTTTCCTATGGCTGAGCCTTAGCACCGAATTAGAAGGATTACTGTTGCAGGCAACCAGAAAGGGTCCTGCTCTATCTCGCCGTGTCATCTAACTACATTAGCACAACGCTTGTGGTTGGGAAAACTTCCTGTGGTCACCACCACACGTGCAGACGTCAAAACAAGCACGTGGTGCGGCTGCCTGTCACGGGAGCGGCTGCCATTTTCGTGCCAAATGATTGTGGAGGAGGTCGAACTGCCTCTGGGAACAATTTTTGCGCGAGTTCTGTGACTTAGGGCATTTTGGGCGGGTGCCGAGCGTTATCGGTCCGAAGCAATGTGACAGTTGTGTTCTGGAGGTGAAACCACCCTTGGGACAGACTTTCAGCTATGTTGCTGCTTCAGCCGGAGAAAATAGCCGGTGGAAAAAATGGTCTAATTTTGGAAGATCGTAGCAGTGAAGAGTAAATAGTGCCCATTTATGCATGATTTAAAACAGACTTCGTAAAGAAAGGAGTGGGTCGCACTTCTTGTTCTCTTTTAATAGGATGGTTTTTCGATTGATAAATTGTTTTATAGATGCCCACAAAGGAGGTGTTGTCGTTGTGCCGGAGAAGCGTGGTCGGACCATAGAAATTGACAATGACTTGTCGGTAAGTGGATTTGTTTATTTATTTTAACAATCAGGGCGCAGTTTCCCTGCGGGGGAGGGTCACACATTTTCGCCATTTCACTAGTTCCGGTTTACTCTTTTGAAACCAGTAAACTCTTGTAAAGTTGGAACAAGCTCGTCGGGCCAACATATTGAAGTGGTTGTTCTATTGTATATTCACTGCCTCATACAAAGTTGTCAGTATCTTGCAAGGGTTACTGGTGGTTTTTACAAAACTTGGGCTGCTTCACAAGATTTCACTAGGTCTCCACTTTGCATGCGGCAGGACACGTGATGGATGTACAAAAAAGTTAACTTGCCCTCTCCCCCCTCCCCCACCCACGTTGTCGAACTGTTCCTTTTTGTTCACACTTGATCGGAGAGGGCTGAGTCGGCTCTGGTGGTGTAGGCATTAGCACAGTAACCCTGCAAGCGAGAGGTTTCGGTCCGAATCCCGGCTCGAATTATGTCTTTTGCCCCTAAATCAACAGTAGTGTCAGATGCATTTATAGGACGAACTTGAGTCTCCTTCTGTTCGTAATAAGTGGGATGGTCAGATTCAGCTGGATGAGGAGGACACAACGGATGATGACGGTGAGCTATTTTCTTCTTCTACAAGGTAGACCGCGTTGATTCTTCTGGTTTAAGAAGCAAAGATCGATGCTGTTCTTGGCCGATGCTCGTGGTGTTTCCACTTCAATGGATGAAGACGGAGAAGTCCCACCTACGCATACTCTAAGTCGTGGGAACAGCTGGTCTGGTTATGCAGGCTCACCGACGCAACAACCATCTAGAGAAGCTCCTAATTATGTTCCCACTCCCGTGACGAAGGTGGGCTGGAATCTTCTCATGCATTTCATAGCATTTTTGTGTTCTTTCTAGGGTATTATTCGATTTATTTTCCACCTAGAACTGCATGCATACTTTTCGTCAAGGTTTTGAGCGTTTCGACGCTGGCTAGGAATGTATTAATATCTGTCTAGCGTTGAGGGTTCGATAGCACTCTCAGCGATTGCCTGAGAAAGTTCAAAACTAGCCGTGAAACGCTCAACTCGCGCTAGATCGATAACCTCCTAGTCGCTCAAAACGCTGCCATCGCTCAGAATGCTTTCACAAAGCATGAACGCAGCCCAGTCTCCGCTACTCTGTTGATCTCTCTCCCATGTAAAGAAGTAAGGTTATGAGTGGACCTGTTTTCCTCATGGTCATCAGAGACTAGGGGTGTAAAAAAATGTGTACGACTTAATTTTTTGCCTTGCTTACCCTCACTTCCACCTCTCATCAAAGTCTTCAAGTCAGTGTTTCTTTCGGTTGAAGCGTCTCTTTCATATTTAAATGGAAGTGGAATTGCTGGCTGTATTTTATTTTCGGAAACGTATGAAACGAGTCGTTAAATGCATGTATTTAGGAGGACACCGGAAACTTCCCAACGGTCACGAAAATTCCAGAACGCTGTCGATATTGGCCAGCGTGCAGACAAGGGGAAAATTGTTCCTATACCCATCCTACAAAGCAGTGCATGTAAGTTATACATTTCTCACATCTTCATCCTGCTCAAAAACAGCAGAAACCTGGTGTACTTGGGTTTAGAACACATATTTTCCTTACTGTAATCATTCGGCTGAACGAAACGTAAATTCTGGTTTTTTTTCGTGAATGGTATGTTTCCATAAATGATTCAGCCTGTCGCTTTCCAGAAACTTCCCACACTGTTCGTTCGGCTCTCGTTGTCTGTATATTCATCCGCCATGTCGATTTGATCGGAAATGTGTTAATCCGAATTGTCCATATACTCACGGTAAAATCTCTGCTGCAGTGGCTCCGACCCCAGCTCCGGCACAGGTAATAAATTTATATATTATTCACATTATAGAGGCGCCAAATTGTGGTTTGCTGATAATATCTTTTAAGGTACCCCAGCCAGTCGCTCCAGCTGGACCTGTGGCAGCTCCAGAGCCGAAGGTTTTGCCTGAGTACGTTTTTAACTTCTGAATTCTTGGTGTCATTTTTTTATATCTATGACGAATAAGGTTTTTGAGCGTTGCTCGGCTTGGGAGGGGTCTTTTGCCTTTTCTCTAGTTTTTTCGTTGGTTCCTGGCGTACTG